CACTCTAACAACCACTTATGTACTATACGTTTCAGAATCCTTCTTTACTACACAGAGATGTAACTGTGAATCATTTTGTTCTACCCAATGGTGATTAGAATGTTGAGGAATGGACTCAATACTTTCTAAATTAGGTGATTTAGAAAATTATAATGGTGAACCCGCCACGTGAGGGAAGGGAGGATTTGTTTGTTTGGAGATCATCCTTAAACGGACGATTCAGTGTGAAGGCAGCCTATAACTTCCTGCAAAATCCTAACACCACACTACGGGAACCTCTTTAGAAGAAAATGTGGCATTAGCCAGTTTCTGATAAAGTGAAACACTTCTTTTGGTAGATTTTTCATGAGAGACTTCCTACGAACCTACTAAGAGCAAAACGTGATTTATCACATAATGAATGTTGTCCTTTTGAGTGTGATAGAGAGGAAACCACAATACATATTCTCTGAGAATGTGAGATTGCTAGAGAAGTTTGGCTTTCCTTAATTAACCCTATATATTTGTCTTCTTTTCTTTCTTTTAACTTGCAGGAATGGCTACAATATAACTCACAACATGAATTAGGTAGAGCTGACAACCAACAATGGCCTTGGATAAAAAAATTTTGCTCTGTGTGTTGGATGCTATGGAAGAATTGATGCAAGAAGGCTATGGAAGGAAAATATTTTAATGCATCTGAAATTATTCAAAGCATCAAGTTTCATTTGATGGAAACAAAGGCAAATGGAAAATTTAAACATAAAATTTTTCAAAAATGGAAGGCTTCAAGGATAAATGGAGACATCCCCCAACTGGTTATTATAGGCTTGATACAAATAGATCGGTCAACCATGAGGGATATGCTACTTGCAGAGGGGTCATTAGGAATTCAAGTGGCGATTAGATTATGGGATTCCAAAAAAGACTTAGTTTCTTACCGCCTACAGCTGCTGAACTTCAAGGTCTTATGGAAGGATTGATAATTAATAAACAATATAATTTTATTCATATTTACTGTCATGTTGACTGCATAACTTTGATTCAGCTATTGTAATAGGGATATGCGTCAGATCATCCACTTAGGCAAGAGGTACATAAAGCTAGACAGCTCTTATTTTCGGCTGAAGAAATATATGTTTAATACTCTAATAGAGAGACCAATCGTGTGGCAGACTATTTTGCCAAGGATGCACATACTGTGACTGATTGTTTTATCCTTTTAAATGCATCCCCGTCAGGTTGTCTTGGTTCCTATCACCTGGATAGAAATGTATAATCTGGTTTGTTTGCGTTTCCTCTAATGTTAGGAATTTTCAAGCATAGGCTTGTCTTGTAATTTTTTTTAAAAAATAAAACTATACATAATAAAAAAATTGTTGTCATGTGCAATATAAAAAAAAATCTAATAAAATACACTGTATACATCAATTATCAGAACTTCCGGAGGGTGACACATTCCTCATAGGACATTACTTTCACTCGAAAGAGAAAAAGAAAAAGCAAATGAAACCTTTTTTTTTTTTTTAATAAACTTGGAAGGAAGGAAAAGTCCACAAACTTAGCTAGCAAGTAAGGCTCGAGGCTCGTTTTGTAATTTTCTGAAAAGATATCACGCAACGGCCACTTGTTTTCTAACGGGGACAGTGTCACTTCATTGCGTCATACTCCACTTCAATCTATGCCTCAATCGAGGTGAGCAGCATTTCTTGTTAGATCTTTAATTCAACCATTTTTTTCCCCATTACCCTCAATCTATGTAGAAATATTTTGCCTTTACTTTTTATGCACTTCAAATAAAGACAAGCAAATTTGCATATCATGAACGACTGGTAGAGATTTTTGTTACTTAACCAAATAATTGAAGTTGGGATTTCGAACCCCAGCCATATGGATTTATAATAATTTAATCGAGAAACTCTTCCTAGCACTATTAGCACTTCAAAAAGGATATTTTTTGCTGTTCATTGAACCTATTTCTCATGCTTACAAAAAAAAAAAGGAATATAACTCTTTATTAATTTGGCATAAGCATAACATTATAAATAATGATATTACATGAATCAACACAAATTTTCATCTATGTTTATTAAAATTAACATGTAGGTTACTTTTAGCCAATTATTTGAGATAAACATAAGTTAATTTAAACAATAAAAGTTATCTTAAATTTATATAATTTGTTCATTTTTATCCTAATTAGCACAATCTTTAGAAACTTTCATGTTATGTTGAAGTGTAGTTTGAAGGGCATTTATGAAATAACTCGTCAAATACTTTGTCAAAAGGAGTAAATAATTTATATTAAGAAGTATAATTTCATTTTAATAAGGGTTAATGAACATTCTAAACTCTAAAATATTGTGTGAATAATATTATGGATATGAACTTTTGAAATGTACAAAAACTCTTATTAATGTATAAATTTTGAGTTATGAAATTTTACTGTTAAGTGAAAAAAGATGGCCATTATTTTTATAATTGTAGATTCCAATCGCATACTGATATAACACTCATTTTAGCCTTTAAAAATAACGGTCGTTTTCTTTAATTTAACCATAGGACTTTAAATGTTAAAAATTTAGAAGTTAATAATAGTTTTTGTATATTTTAAAAGTTTAGAATTTATGATATTATTCATACAATAGTTTAAAATTTATGACCTTCTTTAACTTTTTTAACAAGTAACCAATATATAAGATTAGAGGGAGTATTGTTAAAAAAAAAAAATAGAGATTTCCATCAACTAATGTAACCATTCCAAGGGGTAGTTATAACTCATGACATCATGCAACTCTCTCTCTCTCTCTCTCTCTCTCTCTCTCTCTCTCTCTCTCTCTCTCTCTCTCTCTCTCTCTCTCTCTCTCAATTATATATTTATAAAAATATGATCTAAATGACTCTTAGCATTATAACATGGTAAGCTATAAAAAATTAAAAAGTGTATCGACCACATCAAGAGTCACCCTCTGTTATTTATGATTTTTTTTACTGGATTTTAGCACGGGGAGTAGGATTTAGTAAAAGAAATTAGCATTTTTAATTGGTTAAAATATATAAAATTTTCATGAACTTTAATATAATTATACATGACTCCTCTCATTTTTCAATGTTTAAAATTAACCCTCTAACTTTTTATTTATTTTTTGAAAACTCACTACCATAAATTAACTATTATTTTATTAATATAGTTATTGCCATATCATATTAATATAATATATATGGCACATGACATGAAAAAAATATTTTTATTATTTTTAACACAATTTAATGAAGGGTAAAATTATATTTTTTTAGTTTTAACACACATGGTGGTTCTTTCATTTTTTTTTTAAGCTGAGCAATATTGGTCTCCTTGTTCATAGGTGATATGATTTAAAAAAATTATAATTTCATTATTTTTATCATTTAAAACAGCTTTTTATATTAAATAAATGAAAAAAAATCTAAAAGCTGTTATTGATAAAAGTCATTTGAGTTTTGCTATATGTTTTATTTATTTTCTTTGAACTCTTATTTATTTGTAGCTATTATTTTCTCTTTTGAATGATATTTTCAGTACTTATTCAAACAAAAAATATGTTCTCTTTTAAAATAAGATATTTTTTTGCTATTGATAATTTGTATAGACTTTGTTAAAAACAACTTGCAAAATATCTTAGTTTTCTTATATTAAAGGATAAATTTTTGTTTATATGATTTTTATCAATGCTAATTTTTACATATTTTTATTTTTAAATTTTTAATATAAAAGGTTGTTTTAATTGATAAAATAATAAAATTATAATTTGTTTAAATTGTATTACTCGTTACCAATGAGAACAATATTGCTCAACTAAAAAAATGAGAGTATCATCATATTTGTCAAAATGAAAATTATAATTTTATCCCTTCTTAAATTATGTTAGAAAATAATAAAATTATTTTTTTATATCATGTGTCATGTGTGTTACATTAATATGACATGACAGTAAATTAATTAATGGTAGGAATTTTGAAAAAAAAATAAAAAATTAAAAGGGTTAATTTTAGTTATTGAATGATGAGAGATGTCACATACAATTGCCTAAAAATTTTAAAATTTTTTTATGCATGTTAGCCTTTTTTTTAAATATGAAAAACTAGGATTTAAATCTCATTAAAATAACTTCTCACATTAAGGGCTAGATCTAAGCAATGTTTTAAAGGCTCGATATGTAAAATGAAAAAAGTTACTAATCTCAATTTTTGTGTTATGACAACTTAAATCGGCAGTAAAATGAGTGACGCAACAATTTTAAAAAATCATTAAATACATTTATAAAAGATATATAAAAATATAAATCAAAAATATATTTAATTGTTAATAAATTAATACATGGCTATAAATAAAAATAGTAAAAATTATAATTTTATAACTTAATTAGATCTTTGTTAAATAAAATATGAATAGATTTAAAAATATTTACATTTTTACTTATAAATATCAATATCCTTTCAAAAAAAAAGCCTCATATTATACAGTGAATGGTGAAAAAATGAAATTAGCTTTTGATAGAGTTAAGTTTTTGAATTTCCTATTTTTTAGTTTTTTTTCAGCATTTTTTGTATCATGTTCAAACCCATCGAATTCAACTAAATGGTTCAATTTTAATTCAATCTTACCCAATTATAAAAATACTTTTTTTTTTTTTTAACGGCTTTCGTTGACAATCCATCCAATTGGACCGTTCAATTGGTCCGGTTTTTAATTTTTTTCACTTCGAATTGATAGGAGCCCCCCACCACCGTTTAACAAAGGCGTCACTTTGCCACATGGCGCCGGTTGCGCTTCTTATTTAAAAATAGTACTGATAAGTCACTAATGTGCACGTGTACAAATTAGAAGAAGTTCTGTGCCTGTGTGCGTGTTTTGCTTTGCCTTGTTTTATTATTATTATTATTTCTTTTTTTTTCTTTTCTTTTTTTTTTTTTTGCGGATTCTTTTGCCCTTAAATGTCGGAGAAACTCCACTCGTCCCTGACTTTAACGTTGAGCGCATACCCCTGTAATGAGTTGGGAAAAGGAGTGTCCTCCTTCCACTTCAGTCCAGCAAGTTCATGGCATTGCTCTGGCTGCGAAGGGGAAGAGGAAAATGCATGAATCGGAGCTGCCTCTGCCGTCTACTCCACCTAAATCCACACCCCATTTTCAACTTTCTTCGCCTGAGACTTCCAGTCGCTACAGCCCCCGCCTTCTCCAAAGAATGCAGTCCGATACTTGCTTCCGATGTGGCCAACAAGGTCATTGGATGCGTGATTGCCCTGTCAACTCTCAAAATCTCAAATATAAAGGGCTAACCAGTGAAAATACCGATATTCCGAAGATTTATTGCCGCTGTGGTTATGGAGTTTGTGAAGTCAGAACGGCCAAGAACGATCGTAACTATGGGAAAAAGTACTACGTCTGCCCCATCAAAAGGGTATGTTGTAAATCTCAATAGTTTTGTCCCCTTCTTTCAGTTGGCGATGATAGCCGTTAGCTGCTAGCAAAATTTCAGAGTTTTCCCCCATTCTTTACGGAGTTTGGAATTTGTCTTCTTCTTTTAGGGGAAGAAATGTAAAGATTTTGTAGGATGGTGTGATGGTAAAGTTGATGAGAGTCATTTACATCCTCCTCCATATAAATACCCAATGTGTTCTTGCGGCGCTGGAGTGTGTAGGAAGGTGAAACAGACCGGTGGCGAAAATGAGGGTCGCTATTTCTTTGCTTGCCCGATCGGAGGGGTATGTTATGTTAATTTTTTCCATTGCTTCATATTAATTTATTGAATGAATCCTCCCTTATGTAGATTTGATCCACAATAACTTTATGATCATTTCTTCTATTTGATTAAAAGAATATGTTTTTAAATAGGACCATGGAGCTTGCAGTTACCACCTGTGGGAGGATGCTTTGTTGGGTAAACCAAACATTGCTCCTATTCAGCCAGGCAGTCAGAGTACGCTTCATGATTTTTGGGACAAAGAGAGTAATCGACTAGATGAAGACAATGTAAACGACTTAGGTATGGATGGGGATTCTCCTTCCAAAAGGATCAGATTATTGTGTGATTCTGAGCTTGTAGAGGGAGAAGATGATGTGCTCTCAATAGAGGGAAGGGATCCTACAGAACTGTCAAGCTGTCCGAACCACCTTGGTTTTCCTAAATTGGAGGCTGCTGAAGATCCCGAGGATATAGACGTGTTAAACACAGTGTCATGGAATGCTGTTGAGGAGATTGGGCAATCAATAATTAATCTATCAACAGCTTCCGGCATCCGTGCTCGACAGAGAGAATTTCAAATGCAAATATCTACTGATGTAGATGCATCTTTTGGTTGGTATCTTTTTTTTAAAGTCTTTTGTTGAGTCTTTTCGTCTTTGAAGAGATATTCTTGAGTTTTTGTTCTCGTTGTCCTTCATTTTCTGCAAATACTATTACAGATCCTTATCCAATGGATTGGTTAGGTCGGCTTGCATTCTTTCATCCAACTCTAAACTTAAAACTCTCCCAACCTAAGCCTCTTTTCTGTTGTAAGTATGACTTGCTAAATTTTTTTGATGAGTTTATGTTCTCTTTCATTTGGACTTGTTTAGCATAGCTCCCTATCTCCTATTTGCAGGTGTTTTCCCATCATTTAATGCTATCATCACTCCTACAGAAAAGATTAATCATGATGGTTTTCCTAGTGAATCTAATCAACTTGTAATTAGCAATCCTGGTGAACATGCGATACTTTCAACTGATTGCCTTTTTGAGGGTTTTAGAAATGCTGTTAGCACAAATGTATCACTTACTAGTGAAAGAAAGCCAATGTCCAAAGCACAAAGGCAAAAGCAGATTGTATTAAATGCCTTAAAAGATCTTCTATTTGAACTTGAGTCCATGAATCCTCTTGATTACGTGTCTATGAGAAAGGCTGCAGAGGATACTTTTGATTTGTTGAAAACTTTACCAGTTGACTATAAAAAATTTTCAGAACATGTTTGGGAGTTCATCAACTCTACATCTTCCTCAGTTGAAGTGCAAAATTCTGCTCAAAATGACCTTTCCCTTGAAGAGCACATTCAGCATTATGAGGAGGAGAAACTGAGACTTTCTGGCATCCATGACAACTTTGTCAAGACTAATGCTTTACTTAAAGCATCTCAGTGGCATAGTCAATCCCTTCGAGAGAAGGCCTCTCGACTTAAGGAGATGCTTCAAGGAGTAGAATCTCAACAAATTTCTTGTGAGATGAAGATCAAGAAAATGGAGACTCAACTTGGTGAGATCAATGCAAGTATGAGGGAGGCCGAAGAAAGCTTAAAGATTACAGCTAAGCGACTGGGCCTTGCAAAAAAACTCAGTCAGGAGATAGAAGCAAAGCAACTTGCAGCCAAGACAGCATTGGAGAAGGCCAAACTTGAATTAGAGAGATAATGTTCTATATCTTCATATTTGTATAAGGAGCAAAAAGAACCTTAATTCATGTGATTAACACAAATCAGAAAAAGCTAACTGATGTTAAAAAATAGTGTTCTTTATCCGCATGGTAATGTATAAGTTAGCTCTAGTAGTTGTCGTCAAATATATTTAGTTTAATTTGTGTTTTTCTTTTTGTGTAGGGTCAATCAATTTCGTGTCCTTAACAAAGTCTTCTTTGTATCGATAACAGCTTGCTGCATGAAAATAATGGCCCACTCTTTTTTGCAAAATTGTAATATTATCGTAATCCTAATTCTTGTAAAGATAGCAGTAGTTCATATTTTGGTTGGTTCAAGAACTACGATATGTTGAAACATAGTATTTCACCATTTTGTTGTAGACAATTGTTTGTTTGGGGAACTCTACTCGCCATGCTGTGACTGCACTGCTGTGCAATTGTGGCTATGAAGGTTAGTATTATGTGTCTCGCTGAATGTACTTGCTTGGCTGTGCAGGGGCTCCGATTTCACGTAATTATGGCTATTATTGATCATCCTCTCGTTATGAGCATGAATTTTGTTTTTGTTCATCTTGTTGAATTCTTCAAACGTGGCAAGACGTTGAACTGTATCAGTATCAGATTGAAAACAAGCTTAAATTCATGCCTGTTATACTCCTTGGGCGAGTCATTGGTTCGATTTTCCTTTGATGGTGCCAGATGAAACTTTTCATGTTCTTATCTGATAATCCTCGTTTTCTGTAGTTTTGTAGCGACTGGAATAGGAGTAAGATGTGCTTGTTTACAAGTTCCTCAGGTTCCAGGTGTTAGGCGCCCACAAGGTTGGTAATAACGACTCAGGCATCAAATAACGTGATTGAGAAATGAAGATTTGCAGTTCCAATTTTGCATGAGACGCCCTGTACCGGACCTGTTGTGGTAGAGTTCATATTTGGACTGAAGATTATGCCGAAATATTCTTTTCCGGATTATATATTCTCGTCTCCACAAGTATTGAAACTCGTCTGGTCAAGATCGGTGAGGATGCAAGCATGCTGGTTGCTGACAGCTGATTTTTGATTTTTGTGATGGAGATCAGATGAAATATTAGTTCCCCACCATCCAATCTGCTAGATCTTTCAACCCCACTTGCTTTCATTGTTTGTTCTAAAGTGAAGTGATGAGAATTGACATTGCAGAAGAACATGCTCAGAGAATTCCTTGGGAATTCTTGCTTAATGGGTGCCTGAAGGATCCTAAAGTCCTAATACAGAGCCCAAGCAGGAAGCCATCTTCCACTGCTGGATGGGTGCTTCAGAAAAGATTAGTTGCTTTTTTGGACTCTGTTTGATTTGATCCAGACCCTAAAAAAAAAATTCCCAAAAACCTTTTTTCCGATATTAAATTGAATACAGCAATGTGGATTTTAAAGACGACAAATCAGCATTTTCCGTTAATTTATTGAATCAGGAAGTTTTTCAAATGCATTATAAAATATATCTATTACAAAATTAAAACACCAAAAGTATAATTCTACAAAAAAAAAATAGTTTTAAAACATTCCAAAAGATAAAATAGGAACCATAAATAATAAATGAAAAGAACGAAGAAAATAGTGATAAATATATAATCAGCTAAACCTTCGTCAATTATTATGTTTTTTTTTTTTTTGAAATAATTTCAACATGTGAATCATGCGCCCCACACCCCCCCCAAAAAAAAAAAAATGAATGAATGATTTTTTTGTGCCCGAAACAAGGCTCACGCTACAAGGGCGCCAGACAAATTGGAATTGGAATTTATTAAAAATGTTGGGAAAATGTAAAAATAAATAAAAAATGAGAAACAACTTTCCACAGTTTCACGCCGATTTATTCCCATCACATTCTTTTTTGATTTTGCCTTCGTATAATCTTTTCCTTATATGTTTTTCGTCTGTTAATTAACGATTCGCCAGGCAAATTGCTTTTCATTGATGACGGGCACATTCTTCAAGATATCTGATATCGCCGGCGATCCCTCTTATCGCCGTTAGTCGTAATCTGGCCTTCCTCCCCTACGCTTAGACTCTCGATGCGCGCGGCAGCGGAACTATTACAATGGAACCTTACTTTCTTTTGACTAGTAAAGGTCTTGTGTTCTATCTCCCGCCTTCTACGTTCTCTTCCAAGTTCCACGGTCTTCGCTCACCGGCGCGTCATTCCTAGTCGTTTCCGCTTTTGTTTGAATTCTGATTTCCTTTTATGAAAATCAAGCCCCCAGTTGTGCGTGCCATTAAGAGCAGACTTACTCGATCTGTGATGGATATTAGTTGTGATTGTAAAGTTCTAATATCTGCAATGAATGCCTGAGTTGATTCGGCCCTGATTTTCTTAATCACATTTGCTTTGCCTTGCTTTGAAGGGGAATCTGATAGATTCCCTTCTAAAATTGGCGGGGTAGTACATGGCGTAGCATCTCCGTGATTGTTGACTGCGTAGAAATTTATTGTGCTCTTTTCCTTACCCACATTTCTTGAATTGCCATCTCCTGGGAATACGATCACTGAGTGTGTCATAAAGAAGGAGTGTTTGAGTGTTGGGAACCAAGTGCGTTATTGTAACTTTCCATTTCAATGGGAGCGAAACAGAAGAATGTTGAGGAATCCAGATCAAAATGTTGCAATCCTGTCAAGAAGACAGGACCTGTAACAATGGATCATGTCCTAATGGCATCCCAGGAGACCAAGGAAGAAAGGGAACTAAGGATTCGTAGTCTTTTTGGTTTCTTTGATAGGACGAATACTGGCTATTTAGATTATGCCCAGATTGAGGCCGGTCTCTCTGCACTTCAAATACCATCTGAGTATAAGTATGCCAAGGATTTGTTAAATGCTTGTGATGCTGATAAAGATGGGCGAGTTGATTATCAAGATTTTAAAAGGTACATGGATGACAAGGAGCTAGAGCTTTACCGCATATTTCAAGCCATTGATGTTGAACACAATGGGTGTATTTTACCCGAGGAGCTCTGGGAGGCACTTGTAAGAGCAGGTAAACCAATGACCTCTTTCATATCGTAAGGCGTTGGCCTATACTTCAGTTTATAGCTTTCAACATCTTAAGGGCTTTGCTACCAATTTCTGGTGAATAAGGACCTATGCTTTCTTTATTTATGGTCCAATTCTTATATACTTTAATGTTTTGGTTTCCTCGTTTTTATTGTTCCGTAGGAGTTTGTTTGAGATCCAACGATATGAAATCTCAAGTTCCATAAGAGTAGGCTGGGACAGTAAGTTTAAATTCAATCTCTTCAACCACCAAAACTGTATTCTTCTATGGTTTGACTGGTTATAGATTTAATTTGGATTTTCAGCAGTGGTCACACATCAAAGCTACTCTCAAGTCCCGCATCTATAATTTGGAGAAAAGATATTTACTGTGTTGTGTTTATCCCTTGCTTCTTGATCATTAAAGGAAAATAGACTAAGCAGTACCCTTACGTGTGAAACCAGAGAAGCAAGAATTCCACGTACTGATGTAGTGTTATGAATGATAATTTTGGTATATTTTTTCATGTTGAAAGTATTTTTATTCATAAATTTCCTTTCGTATTAAGGCTCTGGTTGCATTATGGAAATTGAAGGGGAAGGGAAAGTGAAAAGCTGTTTAAATTTTTATTAATTCTATTAGTTTATTGCATAATTGCTAACTGATTATCCTTCTTCTAGATTCTCAAATTCTAAACTAAATGGAAAATTTCTGTTTCTCTGACTAAAGTTACTGCTGACTTCATCTGCTGAAAGCGTTTGACAAGTTGCAAGCTATGCCCCTTTTAAAATCTTGATTGCCAATGTTGGATCTGGATAGCAGGTCTAGTATGAACTATGAAGGTTCTAGGGAAAGAATGATTCAAAAGATTTCATTCAGATTCAACAATCTCTCCCCTTTCTCAGCCATAGTACTTCTATATGCTCAGAGTGTAGGGGAATTGTTATAATTAATTACAGAACTAACACCTAAAACTAACTTCATTATTAGCCATTAATTAACTACACTAAGTGACTTCCTTTTGGACACGTAACAGTTATTTCCCCCTCCTAAAAGGTTCTTGACCTCAAGGATTATATTTTAGTGTCTCTGGGTATCTAACTCAGGAAGTTGGTTCTGAATAGTGATTGGGTTTTCTCATGCAGTTTCCTCCACACTAGTTTTCTTCCATTTTATCAAGACTTGTGTGACTGGTAAATTGTCTCTTTTGACCAACTTTCTAGCCAAAATCTTCTCTGGTTCCACATGAAAATTCCCTCATCGTCCAAGTTGGGTTTGTTAGTAGAAGTACGCTTATTGTCATCCTTGTACTTCGAAATTGACACATGGAAAACTGGATGTATGCTAGTTTGCTGCTGAATCAGTTTTAATCTGCAGGACACTTGCCCAATTCACTTTAAAATCTTTCAAGGGCCATATGGATCTTGCTCCTAGTATATGTAGCTATGGTTTAATGGAAGTAGGAGTAGGTCAATATGCTGCCTCTGCTTTGACCGGATCAGCTTCAACACCCTCTGCTGAGGTCAAATGACCCAAATAGTCATTTTCATTTTTCAACAGCTGCAAACGTACACCAAGACCACTTAATGACTAGTGTGTTTAAGATTCCCAATGTTTTCCTCAAATGGCTAATATGCTTACTCTAACACTTGTTATACACTAAAATGTCATTATGAAAACAAAGGACCAGGATGAACTTCCTTGAGTAGGATTTGGACATTGTATTCATCAATCCTTGGAGGTGGAAGGTTGCTGGTGTATTAGTATGGCTGGAAAACATTAATAAGAATTCATTCAACCCCTCATGAGAGCAACATGCTGTTTTGTAACATCATTAGGCTTCATCAAAGCCATTATTCTTCTTAATCAACATATTTGGGGAGCAAATGAACTGCAACCAGGCCTATTCACTTCTTGTTCACTCATTCCCTCAGCTAGTTTCTCCTTCGCATTATCTTGACTCTTGAGGGGATTGAATGATCACAATCTTGAGAAGATGGTAGGCATTTGGGCTCCTGAAAAACCTTCCTTCTCCTCTCCTACTCCTTGGGCCTCAATCATTAAAAGCTGCGCACCCTTGCATCTGTGGTTTATGGTGTATTTCTTAGGCACCATTAATGCAACCCTTTTTTCTTGTTTTTTTTTCCCTCCTTCCATCTCCTTTTTTGGTCAATTGTTCAACAGTTTAAGCTGAGTTGGTTTTGGAGCTGTATGGTTAGTTTTTGGGATATTGGTTAAGGTACTTTTGTTTTGGTAAGTAGTTTTTAGAAACATGTTGGAAGTACTAGTCAATGATGATGAATACATATTTCTTGGGATCAAATTAGGTTCATGAACTGGGAAGGTTTCTTCGTTGAGTAACTGTGTTGGTATTTGTTTTGCGTGTTTTGAGAGGAGGGTACTTCTGGTAGTCTCGCTAAGTTCTTGGTGTTGGTGAGGTTTGAGTGTTTGAACGTTCTCACAGGTGCTTTAATTTCTGGTTTTAAACCTCCGAGAAGCAGCTTATGGCTACTACATCCAATATATCTACTTTAGCTAGCAGCTCTTCAATCTCCTCCCCAAGTTCTAGAACTGAATCCTCTTACCACAGCCTCTTGAGCTCATCAATTGGACATACCAAGATATTGTCGAACTTTGTTCTGATTCCTCCCATATATTCCCCACAATTCTGTTTACCATGCTTCCTCTCTCATGAAGGACTACCTACAATAACTCTAAACAAGTCTCTCTTGGCCATGTAACAGAAGTCCCTGATTTATATGGTGAATTCTTGCTATGTAATTCAGCTTTTTCTTGACTTTGTCATATCCTTTGGTGGTTTTTTTTCTTTTTTTTAATTTAAGCCACGCCAGTCTCTATATTGTAGGTATTCAGATTGATGATGAAGAACTTGCTCGTTTTGTGGAGCGTGTTGATAAGGATAATAATGGTGTTATTACATTTGAAGAATGGAGGGATTTTCTGCTTCTTTATCCTCATGAGGCGACTATTGAAAACATTTACCATTATTTGGAGCGGGTGTGCCTGGTGGATATTGGAGAGCACTCTGTTATTCCAGCAGGCATTAGTAAGCACATCCATGCAAGTAGATATCTGATTGCAGGAGGAGTAGCAGGTGCTGCATCGCGAACAGCTACTGCACCTCTTGATCGTTTAAAGGTTATTTTACAAGTCCAAACAACACAGGCTCGTATAATGCCTGCAGTAAAAAACATTTTGAGAGAAGGTGGTTTCTTGGGATTTTTTCGAGGCAATGGCTTGAATGTCCTCAAGGTGACTCCTGAGAGTGCTATTAGATTTTACACCTATGAGATGCTAAAGACCTTCATCGGGAATGCTAAAGGAGTGGAAACTAAAGATATTGGCACCTTGGGCCTGCTGTTGGCTGGTGGTATTGCTGGTGCCGTAGCTCAAACTGCTATATATCCAATGGATCTGGTCAAAACTCGAATACAAACATATTGTTGTAATGGTGGAAGAGTTCCCAGCCTTGGGACCCTCTCAAAAGAAATATGGGTACACGAAGGACCTAAGGCATTTTATAGGGGCCTGATTCCTTCTCTTCTTGGGATCATTCCTTATGCTGGAATAGATCTTGCTGCCTATGAAACCTTGAAAGAGATGTCGAAGAAGTATATTCTTCATGATGAAGGTAAATAAGCTCCTTCACATGTCATGTTGTGCAACATGAACATACATACCTTTAATTCTATCCTTTATATTGAAATTCTGAGATCGTATGTAGAAGCTGGTCCTCTCGTGCAACTCGGATGTGGAACAGCATCAGGAGCCCTTGGAGCCACATGTGTTTACCCATTGCAGGTGGTAAGAACAAGGTAATTTTCGTGGGTGGAGTGTCTATTAATTCTATTTTATTTTGTCTGTTTAAGAAGTGACATTTTTTTCATTATTATTATTCCAGAATGCAGGCTCAACGCTCCAAAGGTGGTCCTCCTTATGGGGGAATGATAGATGTATTCAAGAGAACCTTTGAACATGAAGGAATTAGGGGATTCTACAAAGGAATATTTCCTAACCTTCTCAAAGTTGTTCCATCTGCTAGCATCACTTACATGGTTTATGAATATATGAAAAAGGGTTTGGATTTGGATTGAAGATCTTGATCACTTGGTTTGGTAATTAGTCTGAAGTCTGAGTGGCAACTACTGGTACAGGGGGGTGGTTGCAAAGAAGGTGCTGATGACTAAATAAAGTACGCAGCTGATTACATTACAATTATTTGGAAACATTTATATAAATAACATCACTTCAAAATTCTTGGAGGACGAAATTGGTTTGTCCTGCGAAGTGTTTCATAGAACTAATATGGAGCACCGTATCTCTGAGCAGATTTTGTTGTATGATAGAGAAACAAATGAAACACGATTAGGATCCGATTTTGTAATGATTAGTGGCTGAGATTGGTCGTATACCTATTCAATCTGATATTATTTGTTCGACTTACAGAGGCCCCAGTTCTTTGGTTGGTTTCCTTGATTTTTAGTATAGATGTAGGGATTTATAGACATCTTCCTCAGTTTGTATCCCATCTTGATTATGGCTTCTTCTTCATTTTTGGGTATACATTGATTTTCGTATTAGACTATTAGTTATAGCTCACATTGTTACTTTTTTTTTTTTTTAAAATTAAAGCCAATCATGTCACCTATTGAAGGCTGCAATATGATATGGACCAGGTGTATCTTAAACTACAATATGATATGTGGCTATTATACTCAGACGAGACAAAAATCTTAGCTGTATCTTATCACATTTATGTATTTACAGGTTTTTTAAGTATCATTTTGATATTCCAGTTTGACATTATTTCAAGATATGTCGCTCAAATTTTATCTTGTCGTCTTTTGAGGAGTGACTGAGTAAGATGAAACATGGGAGACTAGGATCAAGTGTAAATGATGGTTCGACAGAATCCAATTCACCAAAGCGTCTTGGCTTGAATTATATCTTTCCTAAACGTGAAAGTGAAACGGTCAGTCTAACTCACTTTTTTTTTTTTGGAGGGGGGGTGGTTAGGGGGGGAGATCACAAGTCTGACTTTCACTTTATTAACGTAAGACTTGACAACTAAATTAATGTCAATAATCAAAATATAAGTACTACTGATTCAATAACATATTTCATTTACTTTCTTATTTCGCTGGGCTATATATTTCTTGCTTTAAGACCTAAACTCTAAATCAATGTATTTTTAGTACAACTATCAAACCGAATTGTTTGAAAACCATGTATTGAATCGGTTATAAGGTGTCTTAGAAACTTAATTCTTCATAAATTAGCAATTTAAACTCCCAAATAAATTAACAATTTGTTCAGTGTGATTTCATGAAGCCCAATTACACTAGTTTTTTCTTTTTTTTTAAAATACCATGATTTGATGACAATCTATCCGAAAAACAAGAACGACATTTGATGGGATTTGGGAAAAAGTTGGGACTTGTTTGAAATTATTTTTGTTTTATTGTTCTAAGAATTAATATTTTATAAAATATGTTCTGGAAACAAAAATAATGAAAATAAATATTTTTCTTATTCTCTCTTATTCTTTAAAATAATAATTTTAAAATATTTAAAAAATGTTTTTATTTTTCTATTCTCCAAAATAATATTTTATTTTTTTATTTTTTTAAAAAATTTTCAAAAACACATTATCAATATTTTTATATTTTTTTATTCTGAAAAATAAGAAATTGTTTTTAAAATAGGTTGCCAAATAGGCTTTTTGTTTGTTTGCTCTCCCGACAATGAGAGGATATGGTTGTTAAAGGTTGACACGCTAGCAATAGGTGTTGGTTCTCATATTTAAGTCAGACTAAATATAAAAAAAATATTTTTAATTAAACTCACAATACTAAAATCAAATTCAATTAAATAGCCAACTAAAAACATAAAGGCTGAGCATAAAAAAAAAAGACTGACACCCTAAAATAACTTTTTTGTTAACGGTACCCTACATCCGATGAAATAGCATTTCGATGTAAAAATTCATAATTTGCTTCGTGGACAAAAAAGTTAAAACAAATGCATTGATATATTTAATGCTAATAAAAAAACATTGTGCGAATTTAAACTTTAAACAGCCTTCTTAACATTGGCGTTTTCATCCCAAAAAGCACTTTGCGTCCAAACACCATAGCATCCATCTAAAAGCCCATTCATGTTGATTTTGGGCCGGCCAGATAAGGTCTCTCAAAAGCTCGCACCTTCTAGGTTTCTCTTTATCTCACCGGTTCTCTGGTGCCTGCCGCTGCTGGCTTAAGCTAAAGCAAGGTTTTTTTTAAGGTTTTCTGAGCTCCACGAAAGCTTTCTGCCAACATGGTGAGTGATAGTCGTGACTTATTCCTTATCTCGGATCCATTTTTGGCTTTCTGAAATTTTTTTCTTGATTTTTCATCTTCTGTTTGAATGTGTATTGATTGATGTTTGGCCCTATTTCTCTCCATAGTTTTATAATACCGTCGACTTAGAACATTACGAACAAAAATTGTTTTTCCCTTTCTTGCTATATGCCTATGTCGCTTGTTGCGTTGAGCCAAAGAGAGAAATTAGGGAGTGGTTGAAATTGTGGTTTTCTATAATTATTGTTATCCGCCGATGTAATACATTGCATTCCTTTTTTTTTTTTGTATTTCTTAATTGTTGGGTAAGTTTTAAAAATTTGGCAGTCCTATGTAAACGAGTAATTGCTAGAATTTTTACATTTTCTTGTTGTAGATTTAATTTCTAAATCACTTGTTTTTCTTTTTCTTTTGTGGTGTTGAGTAGGTTCTTCAAAATGATATTGACTTACTAAACCCTCCAGCTGAGCTGGAGAAGAAAAAGCACAAGCTCAAGCGTCTTGTTCAGTCGCCAAACTCCTTTTTCATGGTACAGCTTTTTCTATTATCAAACATCCTTTACTTGTTTATTCTACATCATGCTAATGTGAAAGAACAGTTAAATAATTACTATTTTTGTATCATTAATTTTTTGCCTATCTAGTCATTGCGTCCCTTTTTTACCTTTATGTCACACATGTTGCAGGATGTTAAGTGCCAGGGCTGCTTCAACATGTAAGTTGTATTTTTTTCCAATCCATTCTGTTTTTAACATCCAAATGCGATAGAAGTAATGAGTTTGATTGTGAACCTTTTAATTTGGATGCAGAACCACTGTCTTCAGCCACTCTCAAACAGTTGTGGTTTGTGGTAACTGCCAGACTGTCTTGTGCCAGCCAACAGGTGGGCGTGCAAGGCTAACTGAGGGTTGCTCTTTCAGGAAAAAGGGAGACTAAATGGTGCTCCACTTTCCTTTTTGTTGTGTTTGGAGATTTTCGTGTTAGTTTTAAGCCTGTGTTGTTTTCATTATGATATATTAGTTTTGATAGGTACAAGACTTTTATGTCACGAACGCCTTTGAGACTTAAATGATATTATCCATCAACTCTTGCATTTCTCTTTTACCGCAGTGCAAATGGTTGTTGATATTTATTGATGTAGTTCATATCATTATTCTCACATCCCTTCATCTCTATGATGTGTCCTTCTGCGCCATGATTTAGATGCACAAATTCTTGAATTTCATCTTTAACAGGTGATTTGTGCTTTTTCTACTAACAGGTCAGATGCATTGTAGTTGTGGCTTGTCTTGTAGGGCATATGTGCCTGTTAATTCTAATATTAAGCATGCAAATGCTTTCCAAATGATTGCTTTCTTTGCTGCCCTGGTGGTCCGTTTATTTATTTAGTGTTTACATTATACTGGGATGAAGTTTTTCTTGACTATTGCTGCTTTTATTTGGCTGCTATAATGTCATTCTTGGATTAACGTCTGCATGAACTGATACTAGGTAGTTTTAAGGGTACACTGCTCACGTTGGCCTGGTGAACCTACAAGGGCAAAATTCTGTCAAATTTTGAGGGCAAACAGTCAAAATATACAGCAACTCCTAATCTTGAATTTCATCCATAGCTTAATCAATTAGGACATTTTACGCATAGTCTTATTTAAGGTAATTTTGTTTGACAGTTGGTGCTAAATGTAGGCACCAAATGGCTAAGTGATTTTTAGCTGTTTTTATGATGACAAAACCGTTATCTGTTATGGGAATGGGATTCTTATGTTTGCATGTCTGGTTCACATTTTTGCACCCTCCCGTCACTCATCATTTGATCAGGAATCCTGACTCCTTGAGTTTTTTTTTTTTTTTAAGAAGAAAAATATTGTCCAATTGATTTATATGGTTGAAGGATTAGTCATTCCGTTAACAGAAGAGGCAATGGTGGGTTAAAGTTTATAATACCCTCGAACACTTCAAAAATTTCATCCTCTTCAACCTTATTTTCCCCTGTTGCTGTAATCCCCTTTGTCTTTGACCCTGTCCATTCAGCCTTCTAGTAGATGGATTTTCAATATTGTATCCTCCCGCTAAATGATTGCTTTGTTTGCCTTGTTTTTTCGTTTAATGATGCTCCTTTTTCATTTTAAAAAAACGTTGCTAATTACATATCATTAAGGGAGAATGATATTTAGGTCCCCAAATAATAGTTAAGTTTTTGACTTTTTTTTTAAAACATAAGTTAAAAACATTGATTCGAATAATTACAAATTAAAAAATTTCAATTGTAAGTAAGTATTTTAAATATTAAATACTCCTTTCGTTTAAAAATATAAGATATTTTTTGAAAAGTTGAATGTTTGAAAATATAAAATATTTTTTATCTTTTAAGATGTAATTATTGTCTTTTTTTTAAAATTGTTCCTATTGACAATGATTTTATATTTATTGTAAGATGTTTAATAAGGATAAGTATGAAAGTATAAAGTTATTTAAAAAGTAGGTAATTACTTTATTGAGAGTGAGATTCAGTTAAAACTACTTTACATTTTTGAATAGAGGGAGTATAACTTTTAAATTGTAACATAAATTTTTATTTCAATTGTTTGAATTAATATTTATAATTTATTTTTTAAAAAAAGTTTATTGAAAATTTAACTGTTATTAACTGTCATTCTTTCCATCATTAATGCATGAGTGAAGCCCAATGTAAGAAACAATGTCCTTAAAATTAAAAGAAATTAAATAGAGTATTGTACAGCACTTTAGTAAATAGATTAAAAAAAGATTTTTTTTAAATAATCAAAGACTTAGTGACAAATATTTTCATATATTCTTAGGTTGGGGACATTATTGTCGATAAAACCCAAATTTCCAGTGCTTTTCATAACACATGAAACATACGGTGTGATATTTTGATTCTTATAAAAATCATGCAAAGAACCAAGGGAGGTGTAAATAATGACTTGTTTGGATCAAAGGATTCTGGAAAGGAGGGGAGGGGAGCCTCCCTGCCAAATTGGAGGTTTTTTGGAGGTTAGCCAAATTTTATAACTAATATCCTTATTGAATTTTTTGTATCCCAAAGTTACCCTTGCTTCAATAAAATATACATACAACCGTTGCATATTCCTAACTTTGCTGCAGTATGTTGTGTTAATTGATGTCCTTGCACTTTCTTGGTTCATACTTCATATCAGCCCCTTTGATATTCTCTGTTTTCTTAAGTTCGTGGTATTTGGTAGCCATTCTTGAATACACATATTTGCTCCACACAATACATATTTTCTGCAATATAATGGATGTTTTATTTATTAAATTCACTGCACTATATGCATTGTCTTTGGCTTCGATGCAATGATTTGTGGCCATCATCTTTTCTGTTCTTTCAATCCATACCCCTCCCATATTTATCATAATTCTTGACTTTAATATTCTGGGTGCAGCAACATATATTAATATTAATATTCTTGATTTTAATCACCAATGTGTTGGGTTTTAACGGTGGCACTAGAAATGTATCTTATAAAAATTCAAAAAATAAAAAATAAAATAGAACATGTACTTATATAGCAAATATATAAATAAGGATATACTTAATATTTATTATATATTTGATATTTAATAATTACCTCACGTTCCCTTTCAAAACCAAACAAGAAGTATTAAAATCCATACCCTTCCTTATACCCAAAAAAAAAAAAAAAAATCCATACCCTTTCCTCCTCTCCCCTGCAACCAAACAGAGAAGGGAAGGGTATGGATTTTTTTGTTATGGTGGGAATGGAATACATATGCATCGCTTTTATAGGTCTTTGTGGACACATTGGCATGAAACACGAGATTCTATGCACATCCTTGGCTTATTTGCCCTCTCTTATCTTCTTCTCTATTATGGCTCTCACTTCCCAATCCACAAAGAAAGATGAACTATAAAAAGCTCCAAGTGGAATCATGACTTTTGCAGGTCAAAAGGTGTGTGAAGGATCAGAGGAAAACAATGGAGACATAAAAGTGAGAGGCAAAGCTACATGTATGCATGTGTGCGTAAAAATGGGCTGATCAGTTTTGTTGTGTAAAGTAAGCGAGCATTTGGGGCACATTTCACACCCAAGAATTAACGCAACAAACAAAGAGGCATAATCTACACGCACACTTCCACACCGTATTGACCCTCCCAAGTAAATGCCTTTCGCTATCCTCTCTGTAAATTACAATGTACCCATAACATTATCTTATTCTCCACTACTGTGGTCCTATCCTATCTACTCTATCTCATCCTATATATAACATGTTTTCTTAAAAAAAAAAAAACAATAAAGTTGGTTTGATTTATAGAGTGTCATATTAAAATATTAAATGATTTTTTCTTTTTTATTATTCCTAAAATTTGAATAGTAGTACTTGAATGAAAATTCTATGATCTCCTTCACGGAAAAAAAAAAAGATAAAGAGGGTGTATAAATGAAATACTTGAATATATTTTTTACAAATAAATTCAAATGGCAACTTTCTTAATCCATAGAAGAATGTTTAATTTGAAACGTCTTGTAATAAAAATTGGAGGGAGTATACAGTACAAATCTTAAAAAAAATATTAATTGTATTATTTATAAATCATGAAGTGATCACTAATGATCTTGCCCCCATATTTCAAAGATTTCATTTGAAAATCATAGCTTCTTTCTCCATCTTCGCATCATATCATATATTATCAAAATTGGATGTTTTGCTCTTCACTTTATGCATGTTTATGGATTGAAAAAAAAAATGTTTTAGTGCCATTCATTCAAAATTCAAAGCAAATAAATACCCGCCCTCGCATAATTAAATATGATGTGTAATATATATGTCATGTTTTATCCGTATTTTTTGCATGGTAAGCAGAAAAGCTAATCAATACTCCAGGACGAGTTATAAGATCGATATTTGCACTTGACACAGACAAACAAGTTATAATGTATATGAAAGCGAGTGGGACAATTAATTAACTTATAAGAGGAAATATAAAAGATATCATTTCATAATATTGACATTTGATATAAGAAAGCTAGCCGGATTTATAGAAACCAGTGGCTAACTTGATTATTAGTTGCATGTTAGCATTTTAATTAGCGTCCACGTGCTTTGAGATTTGGACTTGTTTGTACTATTTGCGACGCTAATTTTGATTTTACATTTTCCCAACCTTTGATTATTCCTTTGTTTATTCGATCCATATCGTTACGTGTGATGCATTAAAAGGATTAGATTAATATAATTTATATAAAAGGAGAAAAACCATTGATTTGGTGGATATGAGTGTGTGTTTTCATGCTTCATAGTTAGGTGAAAGAGACGTATATATCTCAAATTTGAATTTTATTCATAATGGATTGATGGAGAGGGATTTATCGTTTATAATAGATAATTGCATTTATTTGTTTAGGTTAGCATAAATTTTTACAAAAAAGTGGCAAGTCAGACACGATCATTGAAGCGTCCATGTAACAAACCACTTTTTGTAGCGATTAATTTAATTGATTCCATACTTATATTATTCTCTATATCAAGCTAGGCAGCCATCATGATCTTAATTCCAAGTTTTGATATTATGTCCAAATTATTTCTGACGAAAACATTTATGGATTAATTCATATATGGTTCAATATTGATTCTGGATTATGAATTCTCACGTTCAGAAATTAAAAGAGAGCATAATATATATACATACATACATACATAAGACATCCAACGAAAATTCGCCGTAATTTCATGGCATTGGCTGCTCTGATCTGTAGAATCTACAGATCTTTGTGCGTCTATCTCTGTATGCAGCAGAGAGAGTGTGATCTGTTAGTTTTAAATTCTGTGTTTAATTCTACTTTTGATTTATAGATAATAAGTATATTGACTTGTAGAGAAGAAGCCAAACCATAATTTCATACTGACTAATTGATTATTGATAATGCATGGGTTTTTTTTGCTACCCAAAATAGAGTGCTTAATTATTGAGAACTATTATATCTTGATGTTTATGTTTGTTAACTGGTACATATACGCACGGCATTAAAAATAATTTGTTTGGTAACTGTTACTTTAAAAACAGTTTGAATAATTACGCTTTTATATATGACAATGTATAA